GTGTGGTCCTTAGGTAAACATCTCTTTATCTCAACTTTCCTCCCCCGTACAAGGAAGTGGGACAAGATGAACTACAAAAAATATTCCTGCTCAAAATCCTATTTTCTGTAGCATTTTCATATGGTTTACTCATTTACTCCCAGTCTTGTGACCCAAAGCAGGTCAATATTTCTTTTTACAAACATGGAAATTGCCATTCAGGTGACAGCATTTTTTCTATTTCTCCATACAGAAAATTTTCCCTAGGAGATTAATAGCTGTGGTGTTCAACTAGGAGCATATTTGTTCCTCAGTGACTTCCAACAATGTCTGGAGACATTCTTGATTGTCACATGTATTAATCACCTTTCCGTCACTGTGGTAAAATACCTGAGATAATCAGCTTATAAGGAAGAAAATTTATTTAGGCTCATGGTGTCAGAGGTCTCGGTCCAGGGTCAGTTGACTTGTTCTGGGGTCTGTGAGGCAGAAGATGATGGTAGGGAGTGGTGGAGGAAGCTTCTTGCTTCATGATGGCCAGGAGAGAGGAAGGGGAGGGACAAGGAGCTGGGATCCTAGTATCCCTGCCAAGGGCTTGCTCTCGATCATCACCTTCCTCCCTGAGGAGGACCACCTCGGCGACTGTCCTTAAAAGAGGAGCAATTGTCTCCATTTTGGCTGAGCCTAACCTTATTTCCATGTATTGATACGCACAGAGCTGACTAGGACTTTTCCTTATCCCTTCAATTGGCTTTAAGCAATGCATACTGGTCCGGCTGAGGTGCTGATGGTAGTCTTTGAAGATGGGCCTATGTGTTTCCCCAGAACCCCTACCTGTTGTTCCCTTGTGTGAGCCTGGATGAGACAGGATGAAGAGCCAATGCTCCACGCTGTCAGCTTGGATGGAGCCTCCAGGATCGAGCCTTGAAATAGAGGCTATGACTTCTGTAGACTTGGAAGATTACACATCAGAGCTGAAGCACTGACCCCAAAACATTAGATACTATCTCAGTTGTGTCATGCAGATTACTCTTTGTGCAGATCCTTCTGTCTGCATCGGCAGAGGTGATTCCAGACCTTCTACCTAACCCAGCTCACAGCGCTCATGTACTTTCCTGCATTCTCACAGTCACTCACCCTCCAGCTGCTCCCTTCTTCATGAATGAATAAAACCTGGGTTCGGCCTTGAGTTGAGGCCTTTGTTCCTGATAGCCATCATCGTGGCTGGGCTTAGGACCTCTTGGCTCCCCATAACCAAAAATATGCCTTAGTGTCTTTATTCTTGCCATAGGTTACACTGGAAGTGGTAGATTGGAATTAATTCACTGAATTCCAGTAACTTTTCCATGGGATTACAAATATACCCTGGGCCGTGATAAGGACTGGGAAGGGCTCTCAATACCTCCAACTAGGTCCAACTGCTAAAGGCTCTTCTACCTTGCAGCATCTCTACGGCTCACAATGACATCTTCACCACATCGGCTTTCGGGGATATTTAAGATCCAAACCCTAACACCGCCTTTAGGAGGTGCTCCTATGTGTAGTGAGTAGAGGCTGGGGAGGCTGTCAATCCCCAACAGTGACCCGAGCAGCCTGGCCTTCCCCACCCTTAGCCCAGTATCAATGTTACCCATGTGTGCCAAGTGCCAAGGTTGAGAAACTCTGACTTGAAGAAATCCATGAAGACAAAAATCATACTCCACTTAGTTCAATGTTTGCTCAATGAAAACACGTATACAGATGTACATGTATAAGAATTCCATTACCTGGACGGTAGAAGCATGGGACATTCTGTTTTCAACACACGCAGAACCGAAGTGTCTGATCTTCTTTGCTTCCCCTTTGGTCTTGTTCTTGGCTCTTCTCCTGCCTCATGAGACCTATCTATTATTGGCCTAAGGAAAGATTAATGGGCCATTTTGACTGCTTTTAACCAATGGAAAAATTTTAAAATAAAACCCTGGTTTATTTTAACCCAGAAAAGAATTTCTGGCTTTTTAACCCAGAAAATAAACATTAAAACTCTAAGCTTAAACTTTTTCAATCTGATTCTTTTTTGCCATTCGGATGGATTCAATGGATGTTTTCAATAAACTTCATGTGGCCTTTTAGTCATTAAAATTATTGCCTTTGTCTGCCCCTAGCTTCTCCTGTAAGATGTACCTGTCTGTGTTTCTCTCTGCTGCATTTGTGCTGATTTAAAACAATTCAGTTAGTGCGAAAATGAATTTACTGTTGGCAAATACCAGCATGACTTGTCCTTTCCTATTTAAAAGGTCAGTCTATGAATTAGTACTTCGAATTTGATTTTGAGTGACTTTTTTCTCAGTGCTGGGGATTGAATTCAGCACCTCTTGCATGCTAGGCAAGTGTTTTATCACTGAGTTACATCCCTGGACCTGAAACTGATTTTAAAATAGACACTGAATTTGTCAGAAATAAAAAGAAAGATGTACCGCCTCTGTTTTCTCTCTCTCTAATTTTAAAAGAGGCAGCAAATTAGATAAAGCAGGTGCATTTGTGTACTAGTTGATGTCACATATTCACTCATTTTCTCACACAAGTGGTCTGTCAGATTTTATCCAAAAAGTAAAAGCTTTATACCATATTATTATCTTATTTTTCTCTTCTCTGTGTTTTCTTAAAGTAGATGATAATGATTTTTCTTGACTGGGCATGATCATCAAGAATAAATTCGGAAATATGATATTTCAAGGGTAAATACAAAGAACATTGCTTGGTCTTCAAAACATTCCAGCAGAATTTCTAAATTTTCTGTAGTGCTGAGCTTAGTTTATCTTGGAGAAGCAAGCTGTACTACCTGACATTGTTTTTTTCCCCTGAGATTTATAACCCAGGGGTGGGGGAAAAACATGCTATAACTTTTGCTTCCAAAATTATATTTTACTTATTTTATTTTGTTATATACCCTTCATTGGTTCCCAGCATGCTTTTAAATAATCTAAAATTTCTCAGAGTCTATTTGAGTTTTAAGTGGCACCAACCCTTATTTTTCCCACATCCCTAATAGTACAGTTAATAAATTCCAGGTTATTGCAGTTTATTAAAATTCCATTAAATGTAGGTTGGCAGTCACTGGAGAAATGGAGAAAAGGAAGGGAAATCATTTTATGTCGTGTCATGGAGAATTAGATTTTTAATTCTGGCATCGTGGGAGGGTTAGAAAAACAGTCTTTGTAAAAGTGACATTTTTGAAAATGTTAAGTAACAGACTCAGGCTGGTCTCCAAGGAGGACAGCTCCCTGCTTGTTCCTGAGGGAGATAACACTGGGTAGCCCAGCTGTAGGAGTGACATCCCACTGCCCAAGAGAATGAGCTCCCTTTACCCAGGGCAGGATTTCTCAATCTTGGCATTATCGGCTGTGGGACAGAATAATTCTTTGTTGTGGGGACTGAGCATCTCTGGGCCTGCCTCAGTCTCCTCATCTGTATATTGGGTATATCACAGGATCATGGCTTTAAATCCGTTATCATCTAAGCACTTTGCACTAATGCTTGAAATGATCAGTTCTAAGTGCTGATATTGATCTTAATAACTGGGACGTTGCCAAGTTATCACAAATATGGCTTCTGAGATCACTGAACCTTGTTCTCTCACAGCTCCGGTGGCAAGATGTCCAAAATCAGCATCACCTGGGCTGACATCAGGGCGCCAACAGGGTGCACTGGGTAGCTTTGGGGGCTCTAGGGTAGAACTTTTCCCTTCCTCCCACTTCTGGGGCTCCCAGCACCCCCGTCTTCTCCCTATGGTCACGTTGCCTCTCTCTTCTGTGTGTGTCTTCCTGTCTCTCACTTGTAAGGACACTTGTGGTTGGCAGTTAGAACCCATTTAGACAACCCGGATAATCTCTTCTCAAATCCTGAATCTAATTACATCTGCAAAAACCTTACCACACAGGGCAAGAGCTCCACATTCCAGAGATCAGGGCCTCGTACCCCTTGGGTGCCATCCGTCCATTCAGAAAGGGTTTTCTTCCCCAGGGAGGCTCCAGGCTGGGCAGACGCTCCAGATGGACAGCCCTTCTAGAACACCGCCTCTCAGCTGTCCTGGGACCTTTCGTTCCCATCTTTCCTTTTGCTTCCCATTTAGTAATGGAGAGTGCACCCAGCCAGGGACAGGAGACTTGGAGAGCCACACCGGGGCTGATCCCTACAGCTCCCTCTTTTATTATGTATTTGCATATGGAAGGGAAAGACAGGTGCTACCGCCACTGCACATTAAGAAGGAAATCCACCTCCTGACTGCTGGGAACTTGCAGAGAAACCTCCAGAGCCTGAGCGTTTTCTCTTCCAACCAGGCTCCCTGGCAGGCACCGCCTCACAGTTCACCCCATGCCCGCCACCACCAGGGAGGCATGCTCTGCACTCAGGGTTCCCTCCAAGGCCAAGGCCCGGGCCCTGACGCTCGCTCCTCTCCTCTGCCCACACTCCACGGTTCATGGTCCCTGGGTGTCTCTCCTCATTGAGAGGCTTCCTTCCCTGCACTTCTCGGCAGTCACCGTCTCCTCTGGGAGGACTCGCTCAGCCACTGTCAGAGCTGGGGACACACCGCAGCCTGTGCTGAGTTCCCTCTCTAGCCAGTTCCCAGGGAAGGATGCGTGGAAGGGTGCAGAGCTGCAGCTCAGGCAAGCAGAAGTTTCCATCTACACGTGGGCTCTTGGGAGGCACAGCTCCCATTCAAAGCCTGTACAGAAATGCCCTTTACATGGAGCTACACAGAGGCGTAAGACTTCAGGCCCTGGGGCCAGACCTGTGACCTCAAGTCCACTCACTGTGATGTGACTTGGGGCATATTAAAAACACCCCCAAGTCTCGGTGAGCTAGCCCGAGAATGGCAGTGCTACCAGGCTCGGGTATCGAGGATGCAGGACAGCATACGGGCCACACTTGGCCCAAACCAAGTATTCTGCACCTATTGGTACCAATTAGCTGTTAGTATTGGTACCGTTCCCTGAGCAAGACAGTACAGGAAGAGCTGCTAGAATGACTGTACCACCAAGTGTACTACATAGAAAATATTTTATTATAAAAAGCTCAGTCCCATGGCATTTCAGAAGGAGGGGAGTGGCTACAGCCTTCTGTTTTGCTGACACGCAGAAGGGACCACTAGGAAATTGTACCAGTGAGATATCATCACACACATCACGTGCCTGAGTTCATCAGGCCCAAGGCCCTCACAGAACCGACAGCATCAGGGACCCCGAGAGAGCCGTCACCCGGGTCCACCCTCCACTCAACGGCTTTCTGCACCAAGTGGCTCCGCGGCCTGGGCGCAAAGCTGGGCCAGGTTCTCGCTCTGCGCCCACTTCAGGATGCAGGAAAGAGAGGAAATGCACAACTTGTTTTCTTCTGGAAAAAAACAGTCACGGTAGAAGCAAAAGACAACAGCCACAATCTAAACACACCGCGACGCATCCTTTCCTCGCTCAAAGGCGGAGGGCGTCGCCAGGGATGGATTCAGCATCAGGGCAGGAAGATGTGAAGAAGTCGCTGCCGCACCCTGGACTGCACCCAGACAGCTCTCTTCGGCCGCATCTGCCGCGGAGGGTCCTGGGCCTTCCTCAGTCCCGTCCATCACAGAATCCCCTTTCCCAGTGGCCAAGTGTGTGTCTCCACTGGGCTCGACGCGGCTCACCGCAGTGTGCAGTGAGGACTGTGTGAGGCAGGAGGCAGAGGGCACGGCCGGAGAGGGGCCGTCAGTCGGGGGGCCGGGCATCCGGGGCCTTCTCCTGGACCTCGGCATACTGTGGCGGAGGCGTCAGCGGCTCAATCGAGACAGGGGGCACGTTTTTGTCCGGGAGGTTGATCCTAAAGTCTTTGAGGTGAAGCTTCTCGGATTTGATCCTGCGAACCTTCAGCGGCTTCAGGCGCTTGGCTAACTTGGAGTTCTGTCTGTTGGGGGGGTTCGAGGGGCTTGGCTCTACCTCAGCCCTTGTGGGGGTCGTTTGGTCAAGGCCTGTGAGGGACTCGTAGGATGGGAGAGAGACGCTCAGCCTGGGGTTCTGCTCCACCTCCCTGGCTTCCGAGTAGTTTGTGTTCATCACTTCTTCATAGCTGGGGACATAGTACCTCGAGGAGGCCTCTTCCTCCTCCTCTTGGCTGCAAATACACACAGAGTGTTAGCAAATACCAACACGTGGTGTGAACAAATAAATACAGACACAGTGTGAGCATGCACTCGAGTAGGTTAAGGTCCCAAAGACCACACTGGGAGTCTGAGGCAGGAGGATCCCAAGTCTGAGCTCAGCAGCTTAGTACAGAGGTTCTGGGTTCAATGTTCTGTACTATGAACAAAAAAAATCCCAAAGGGATGAACTTCAGATCCCATGTGGGCACTGAGCCTGCACTCACCCTTAAAGCCCAGATGGGTCTTAGAAACAATAAAAGCTAGTGTGCCAGCTGTTTATGATGATGAGCTGGGCACTGTTCTAGGTAACACATAGGGACTGGTTCACATTCTCAGCACCATGAACCAAGTGCCATTATTGTACCCATTTTATGGATGGGGAAATATACATCAAGGTTAAGTGACTTGGCTATACCTTTAGGAAAGGGGAAGGTAGAAGGTATAGGTCATACATCATCCACTCCACACTATTACTTGGGTATTAAACCTTCTTTTCCTTAAAGACTTCATGAGCCACTTCATGTCATGTGGTCTGGTTACTCCAGTGCTCACCTAAGTTCTGTGGCCAAACGCAACAGATAGCTCTATAAAATGGCTGCCAATGTCAAGCCAAATGCCGTCCCCAGGTGGAGAAGGAATATACAATGTAGTAAAACAGTATGGTTCATGTAAATTAAAATAAAAAATTATTTCAATAAAAGATACATTGCCATTAATCTCCTTCAAAATATTCCCCCAACTTTATTTATTTTTTTTTTTCCCCCAACTTTAAATACACTTAGCCCATTAATCTTGCCACTTTCTTAAGAAGTTTTGGAAATCCTCTTTCTTGAGTGTCTTTTGGTGGCTGCTTTGATGACCTGAATTGATTCAAAACATTTACTATGATTTCTGTTGAAGAAAAATATCACAGTGGAGCTGGGGATTTAGCTCAGCGGCAAAGTGCCTGCCTGGCAAGCACAAGGTCGTGAGTTTGGTTCCCGGTACCGGAGAAAAACAAAAACAAAACAAAACAAAAAATCACAGTGTCTCCTCACCTACCTTTTTCATTGGGTTTGGCACTGTGCAACTTCTGGCTCTTCCTCAAAGCCAAAATGACCATGAAAGGTAAACATTTTGAATCCAGGACTCTGAGGCAGCCATGACAGCACAAGTAAAGACACTCACAAAAGGAGAATTCAGAACTGCTTCAGAAAGTGGCAAGAACAATGGGATAAGTGTATCTGAAGTATGTGTGGGGGGATTAGTGGCAACGTGCCTTTTACTGTAATATGTTTTTTAAAATTTTAAAAATCACCATATTTTTTATCACATCACCTATGTGAACCACTATATAT